ATGTTGGAGGCTGAAGGATGATGGGGTGTCTGTAGTCAGGGAACAAATCACACCTTATATCTTTGGATCCATGTGGCAGAAAAAATCTGTATAAAGTAGTATTTTAACCCATATAAATTCTTAGGATCTTTTGTATATTTGAAAATGTTGGAATAAGTATGTTAAGGTATGAGGCCTAGTATTTATAACCCCATATAAATTCTTATGGACTTATGAGAAAAAATCACACCTTAATGTGACAGGTTTTAGCGAAATTTTTTCTTCCTACCTCTCATAAGGGACACTTGGTTTGACCCCCATTACTACTACATTAGTCATATACCACCTCCGACAAAGGGGACACTTCTGACATAAAGGACACCTTTGATGATCCCCGAGGTCCCTTATTTAGAGCGATTTCAACCGGTTCAGTTATTCAGCCAACATACAAACTTGTTGTAGTTACTACAAGCTCAATGCAACATTTCAAGTACCAAAGGAGTCAATTTTTCTGGCTGTGACAGATAATATTCTCCTGCCTCGTTTTATCCCTCCCTCTCCGCCCGACCTGCCTCCTTATCTCTCCTGCCCTCCGTCTCTCTCTCGCAGCTCTCCCTCGCCGCCCAAAAAACACCGCCCTCATCTCCTACCATTCTCTTCTTGTAAGGGCTCGTCTCCTCCATTGTTTTCATCATCGCGTTTTTTCGCGCCAAAATTAAACCGTTGCATGCGCATGCGTAGACCTAAGCGTTAAACATTGACCATCTGTTCCCTGCATGCAGGCGCGTTTTCCACGTGGCGCTATTTTACATTTGTGTTTGTGTTGTGCACCGTGGTGTGAGAATTAGTGGTTTTACCAGCAGCATTTCTTACTAAATGTCGTGAGTTTTTCCAAGCATAAACAGGAAGAAGCCCGCGTTCATAGTCGGTTTCTATTTAGAGAGCACCTGAATGGTTGTATTTTTTCTCGCTCTGTATCATGGATGTGGTAGGTTTCGCAGGAAGGGGGAGGAGGGAGTCGGGGAGAAGGGATGGGTGTAAACGGGAGGGGCGAGGGTAAGAGGGAGGAGGGGAGGGGACGAGGGACGAGACAAGACGGAGGAGGGGGGAGGAGGATGGGTCAGGGGAAACGAGGACCCGACCCTCCGCTGAGTTTTGAGTTGAAAAACGTCGAACCCCTCTATAGAAACTACCACTGAAATGAGGGACACCTCTAAAAAGCGATACATCCATCAGAAAAAAACAGCTTTCCTCCGCTTTTAAAAAAAGAGGACACCCACTAATATGGCCACTTTCCTCTTTGCCGTGGGTGTCTGGATAGAGGAGTATTGAAACTAGTGTGCTAATCAGTGTTGTGGATATTTATTTATCATGGTCAAATGCTAGGGCATTTATCTTCCCCTTGCTGCTTCTTTCGTTCTTTTCGAACGGTATGTTTTTTTTTTTTTTTTGTTTTTTTTTTTTTTTTTTTTTGTTTTTATTTTTTTTTTTTCTTCTTTTTTTTTTTTTTTTTTTCCGATAAGTGGACTGGTCTGAGCAGTGGGGTGTTTGTAACCACCAAGGCCGCGCGCCGCTCATGGACCCAAAACTCAATCACGCAGGTGAGGGGTTTGTCATGTGACCAGTGATTACATCATTGAGTAATCGTGCTGTCGTGTTGATTTGCAGCTGCTGACAAAGAGGAGTGCAGGAAATAACACCATCTGGTGATTTGACAGGTTTGTATAATAATTAATCATGTGTATATTGTATTTTGGGGGGGAGAAGTAGTAAATATTTGTATCTGCACTATTAAAAAAAATTGGAGAAGGGTAATTTATTTTTAAAATTTTGTGTTTTTTACTGAGTTGAGTTTGTATTATGTATGTATGTTCCCACTGTAAAAGGTTAATTGAACATTTTACACTTGACGTAGCATGTCGTTGCCATTCATTTACTGCATGCAGTCCAGAGTCCAGGGATTCTGCAGTAAAGTCTCTACAATCCTCGAGAACCTCATTCTAACCGGTGAAGGAGAAGAACTGGTGAGACGATACGAAATCTCTGCTCCTAGTGTGCTGCTATAGTTTACTCATTGTGCACGTGAGACTCTTGCTCCTAGTGTGTTGCCATAGATTGTTCAACTCGTTGTGCACGTGAGACTCTTGCTCCTAGTGTGTTGCCATAGATTGTTCAACTCGTTGTGCACGTGAGACTCTTGCTCCTAGTGTGTTGCCATAGATTGTTCAACTCGTTGTGCACGTGAGACTCTTGCTCCTAGTGTGTTGCCATAGATTGTTCAACTCGTTGTGCACGTGAGACTCTTGCTCCTAGTGTGTTGCCATAGATTGTTCAACTCATTGTGCACGTGAGACTCTTGCTCCTAGTGTGTTGCCATAGATTGTTCAACTCGTTGTGTGCGTCACATCATAGTTAGGGAGTGAAGCAAGCCTGCCTAATCATCAGCAACACAATAGCTTAGTAAACATGATGTGAGTTCGAGTTATTACAAGATTTAGTGGACAACCTAACTATCTAGTTACATTTGTAAATTTAGCCATTATGATTATACTGCCACATTCCCTTTGAGATACATCTCTGTGTGTGTGTTGGTACAATGTGTAGATGTTGGACGAGGTGAGGGGGGCGGGGTCCTACAAGAAGGGGACGGCCCTCTCCGGTAACACGGCCTCTGATCTCGTTGTCATCATGAAGAATGTACCAACTGAGGCTAACGTCTCCAACACCATGCAAAAGGTCAATGCTAGGTAGCACCACCAACTGAACTAAGAAAAAAGTCCAGTTAGAGGATTATTGTGAATATTTATGTTAAGAAAAACTAGGGGAAAACCCTGGGGAATCACACTTGTATTGTAATGTGTAGGGGAAAACCCTGGGGAATCACTATAATTATAATGTGTAGGGGAAAACCCGGGGAATCACACTTGTATGTAATGTAGGGGAAACCCTGGGAATCACACTCTGATTATAAGTGTAGGGGAAACCCTGGGGAATCACACTTGTAATGTAATGTGTAGGGGAAAACCCTGGGGAATCACACTCATGATTATAAGTTGTAGGGGAAAACCCTGGGGAATCACACTTGTAATGTAATGTGTAGGGGAAAACCCTGGGGAATCACACTCATGATTATAAGTTGTAGGGGAAAACCCTGGGGAATCACTATAATTATAATGTGTAGGGGAAAACCCTGGGGAATCACACTTGTAATTATAAGGTGTAGGGGAAACCCCTGGGGAATCACACTCATGATTATAAGGTGTAGGGGAAAACCCTGGGGAATCACACTTGTAATTGTAATTGTAGGGGAAAACCCTGGGGAATCACACTATAATTATAATGTGTAGGGGAAAACCCTGGGGAATCACACTCATGATTATAAGGTGTAGGGGAAAACCCTGGGGAATCACACTTGTAATTATAATGTGTAGGGGAAAACCCTGGGGAATCACACTCATGATTATAAGGTGTAGGGGAAAACCCTGGGGAATCACACTTGTAATTGTAATTGTAGGGGAAAACCCTGGGAATCACACTCACATTATAATGTGTAGGGGAAAACCCTGGGGAATCACACTCATGATTATAAGGTGTAGGGGAAAACCCTGGGGAATCACACTCATGATTATAAGGTGTAGGGGAAAACCCTGGGGAATCACACTCATGATTATAAGGTGTAGGGGAAAACCCTGGGGAATCACACTCATGATTATAAGGTGTAGGGGAAAACCCTGGGGAATCACACTCATGATTATAAGGTGTAGGGGAAAACCCTGGGGAATCACACTCATGATTATAAGGTGTAGGGGAAAACCCTGGGGAATCACACCCATGATTATAAGGTGTAGGGGAAAACCCTGGGGAATCACACCCATGATTATAAGGTGTAGGGGAAAACCCTGGGGAATCACACTCATGATTATAAGGTGTAGGGGAAAACCCTGGGGAATCACACTCACAATTATAAGGTGTAGGGGAAAACCTTGGGGAATCCCCTGGGGAATCCCAGCTTATATTATAATAACATGAAAGTGGGATTTCCCAGGGTTTTCCTCTAGTGTTTTGCCATGAATATTCACAATAAATCAAGTGCAGGCATGGACAATAGGGTTAGTACAAGAGATATACACCCACCCTGCACATATTTCATTGTGGTGTTAATACCAATCAACGCTGTGAAGTTAGCACTTGCATTCACTCTTAACAATGTATTAGTACAGTACCATTCTAGTACATGAAAACATGAGGTTCTTCAAGACTCTGTAATTGTCTAGACTACATTTGTAATGTCCAATAACTGTGGGTATAGAAGTAAGTGTCTTTGTGGATGAAATGTTCTCTACTCTCCTTTTAGTTGAATCCGTGTGAGTTTTTCACGAAGCTTTTTGCTGTGCACTCCACGTTGGCGTAGTTCCTTCTGAAACTCTTCATCATTGGTGAATTTTGTCCGAATTTTACATAATTTCGGATAAAAGAGGTCTAACTCAGCTAAGCGATCGATTTGGTGCTTTTTTATATCTAGCCCCACCAAATTATTATTGAGCTCAGCCTTTATTGCTCTCTTTTGCTTCTGCTCGGCCCATTTCTGAAGCTGTTCTTCAGCAGTTCGACTTGGCATTGAGGACAGTAGTCCAGCTAGGGACCTGTGACTGAAGAGTTCTTCCATTGCCTCCACATCATGAAGAGCTCGTTCACCTGCAAAACCATATCAAGATGATTCAAGAAATATTTGGGGTGTTTTTTTTTCACCTTGGTACGGTTTTTTTGTGAAGAGGGTATAAAGGTTTCCCAGGGCGAATTTCTTCACATTTTTAGTAGCGTCATCTTTTACCTGATTGGCAACTTAATAAGATGATCTGTTCAAACTGACGCACTGAAAGGACTAACCTCACGTAGGTACTGGAATGTATCGGAAAAGAAAACATTTTCCGTAACAAGATCTGATGTTTGTAATTCTTGTCTTCTTTCGATTTCAGCTAGCAGCACCGGTATCCCGAAAGAAAAGGCTTTGTGAGAAGCTAACACTGTTGGTGGAACAGAAATGACGTGTAAAAACAATCAGATGAATGGTGCCGTTGGTTTTACCGGTGTAGTACTGATCACCAGTGCGCTTGGAAACCTCCTCTCTTGTTGTTCTTATCCACTCTAGAAACTGGGGGAAAACCACATCGAGTGGTTCCTCGTCCTCCAGCATATCGGTGGTTATCTTGGTTGCTGTAAAATTTAAACAATCCCCGTGCTATATATATAAAATTGGCAGAGAGTTTGAGTATTGCAAGCATGTGTGCACAGAGTTATTGGCTGTGCGGTTGCCTCGGTGCTCTCAGTCAGACTGGCTACAGCAGTGGTAGAACCGTAACAATATATTTTGGACAGCCTTTGCACTAGCAGAATCTGGCCCATTTTTTAAGCTGTTTTTTTTACCTGACCTATGCCAATGAAAAGCCTGGTGCTTTTCATTGGCATAGGTTTTCTTTTCATAGTGTAAAGCAGTACTTATACATCTTATGTGTAGCACTGACTGTAGCTGGTGCGTGCATGTGCATATTAGTATGTACACAAAGACATTAGACTCAAACCTCTTGGATCAATGCTGCGGTCGGTATGCACAAGACTTGAGAAGGTGGCTTCTGTCACGTACGAAACCTGTTCTCCGATGACTTTGGCAGCGAGATTTACTATGTGGCATTCGTAGATGTCGACGTCTGTGGTTTTCATGTGAAAAAACACCAACAACGGTTTCCCAGACTTTTCTTTATCTTCATCTTTGAGTTTTGGATCTTCATCTGGGCCCTTTCTGCCCTTTTTCGCGAGTTTTCTCCGTTTTGGAGCTGGTACATCACTTGGTCCCGGTCCTTCAGCCATTCCCCAGTATTTAGCTACTCTGCAGCTTACTCATTCCTTTTATAGGGGAGTTGATCTATTTTTAGTAGCCTACTTTTGTTCACCAGTGGTGGACTGTGATTATCTGTCGGTATGTGTACTACAATTATTCATAGTCTTCCCTTACTTGGAGGCTAATGCCAGCAGGGGAAAACCTCAGTTCCAGTTGTTGGCTCTCCATTCTTGTTTTGGCTTTATTGTCAGGCTACCAGTTCCTATAGTATTATACCACTGGGGTATCTCCCTCCTTACATGTTAAAGGGCGCCAAGATCTTTCTATTACTATAATGTATATACACAAAATTTATTCATATACTGTGTTGATCTATACAGTTGTGAGGTCTTGATCTTGTATGCCTGGCTTGCTAGATTCCCTCTCTGTCTGTGGCCCACAGTTGGTGGAGGTCCTGATCTAGTATGCCTGGCTAGCTAAATTCCCTCTCTGTCTGTGGCCCACAGTTGGTGGAGGTCCTGATCTAGTATGCCTGGCTAGCTAAATTCCCTCTCTGTCTGTGGCCCACAGTTGGTGGAGGTCCTGAACACTGATGAAAAGGAAGAAACGGAGAAGAGAGTGGAGGAGAGGGTCTCTCTCAGTAGGACTGGCACCAACGGTAAAATTAGACTAGTCATAAAATTCCGCTTAGTCTTCATTTTGTGGTTGCACAACACGTTAAATACACCTGGCAAATATTGACGTTGCAACTGTCATGTTTGGTTGCAGCTAGTGCATTTCATGGTCATGTGACTACCATCTGTGTACCCATGGCTGTTATGTTCCGGCTCACATGACTCATCTCCTCCCCTCCCCCAGTGTTTGAGCTCCACACTAAGCAGGATTGTTCAGTGAGAGTTCACTTCACATCAACTGGAGACAAAGTCTATGGCCCCGTGCCCGACGGAAAAGGTCAGAGTACAATCTATTTATTGGCCTGTTTGCTGGGGTCATTACGTCACATAAATCATGAGTTTATTTTTAACCCCCTAGCCCTGTTTCCTTATATAGCCTACTGTGTGTTGAACTACCAACAATGTTTGCTCGTTCGTGACCTTCATAATTATAGTAAACCTTGATTTATAAAAAGAAAGGACCCAGTTTCTATGAATCAAAATCTCACCATTTTGTATTTTTCTGCAGATATGAAACCATATCAAGATGCCCTGAGGATGATCCGTCATTGTCGGTGGTGGGAGGAGCACACCGCACACCTCAAGAAGTATGCAAAACACTTCTTCCTTCTTTACTCCCCTCCCCCCTCTCTCTCTCCCATTACTATATACTTGTGTCCTGCAGTGCCCGTAACCTGGCCCGACTCCTGAAGGATCTGTGTCGTCATGTTCCAGGTCTCAGACTGCTAGACCCCTGGCACATCGAACTACTGGTCTGCTCTTTAACCTTTGGTTCTTTGAGAAGACGTACATGATTTTGTTTAGGAACAGACAATAGCAACTAAATATACGGGGTTCTGTTTTTGAAAAGTTCGCTTTATTAAACACGGACTCTGTCTCTTTCTGCATGTCTTCTCTCTCTTTCTCCCTTCTTCTTCTCCTCTTTCTGATTCCGTGTTCTCCCATCAGTCAAACTGTGCCGTCATCCCACTGGTGGGAGACGAGCCGCTTAGTCTAGTGGACAGCTTCAAGAGAGTGTGGCAGCTGTTGTCCGCCGGACTGTTCCTCCCTGGCTCCATTGGCATCCCCGACCCCTGTGAGGTCAGCTTCTCCCTCCCTCACCTCTCCCTCTCTCTCTCTCTCTCTCTGTCTCTCTCTCTCTCTCTCTCTATCTCTATCTCTCTCCTTCTCTCTCTTTTGCTGTGTGCTCAAGTGTAGAAGTGCATTCACTCATTTGCTCTAATACTCGTCCCCTTTTCTCTCTTTCCTCTCTTTCGTTCCTGTTTTCTCGTCTTTGCCCGGTTCTCTTGTTGCATGGTCCATGGCTATGTCTCAGCCATATTCCGTGTCCTCTCTCTTCCTCACCATTTTGAATCTCCTCTTCCTTCACTCTCTTTTCTCTTCACACTCTTGCATTATCTCCTTCCCACTTCTCCTCTCTTCCTTCATTGAAACAGGTGTTTTACGTGTATATATCTCTTTCTCCCTCCTTCCCCCTCTTCTCTCTTTCTCTCTCTTTTTAATTTATCACTCCCTCCTTCCCCCTCTACTCTCTTTCTCTCTCTGTTTATTAATCCCCCTGCAGGAGACAGATGCTGGTGTACACGAGAGTCTGCCGATTTGGGCCATGGATGAACTGACCAGAAACTCTCAGATGATTCTGCAAATGCTCCACTTTGGAGCCTATCAGGAAATACTGGGCGTGGATGGAGCCAAAACCTATAGGTTAGATCCCTGTGTAAAAGTATGTATGAGCTATCATTTCTTGCTCTCCTGGTCCTCCCTGCAGATTTCTCCTCTCCCTATGTCCTGAATACTGTCACCATCGACGTCCCTCAGCCAGTGTGCGACAAGCCGGACCCCGCAGCACTAATGGACGTGGAACTCACCACCAGCACACAGATGACTGAATGAACTCCTCTAGTTTCATGCACTCACCCAATGAACTGATGTGTACACACTTTTGCTGTTGGGTGCTTCATTTCAGCCTGATAATCTTGCGCAAGCATCGTTTACTAGATTGCGCATGTGGAACACACATAAGCGCTCGCGAGGGAAACGTCCTTTGCACCCTAAACATGCTCCCTACGAGGCTACGCTCGCGGCGGCCACAGCGAACCTCCAGGGACGATGCAGGACCTGAAGCGAAGGGAAGTACCGCCACTGAGCCTTCTGCAGGAACTCTACCGCTGTCCCCGACCGAGAGAAAGTGGCAGATACGGATAGTTTACTTCATTGGATTCATGGTATGCTTATAGCTAACCACCAGCCATGCAGCAACACACGTGGACTTGTATACTCCGCGCATAAACAACACACGACACGTGTTGGCTTGTTCTGGTCAATTCAGAGCTTGTATTCACCTAGGGCAGCTCTTCTTTTTTCCTTGGAAAAATAGTTGTCCTGGATGAGTTGCTTTGCCATTGCTATAATACCTCGTTGTTGACGTATGTGTGTGTATTGTAGGATTTGTTCAGTATCAGTATGATGATACCTCTCTACCCTCGAGTGGCTAGGATGCTGGGAGCTAGCCCCTCCCTGGCAGGACTCATAGGTATATCTTCTCTAGAACCAGCTTACTTTGTACCATCGCTGAACTGTGCGGCAATTAAGACAGTCTGTTTCTCTTTCTCTGTCTTCAGGGTCTCTATATGGAGTGATACAGGTCTTCTCCAGTCCTATTGCGGTAAGATTTCTGTATAATTATACCCAATTCTGTTTCCAATATTTGTGTGTAGGATGAATGTTCTACCTATGCACACTGCATTGATGCATATTTTGCCCAATAAGCATCTTGGGTTTCCCCATCCATCATTTTGGCAATTTTCGTACATTTTTGTTGCCATCCAAAAACGAGCTATATTGGCTGCTGTTCTAGGGTCCCGTGCGTTGTTGGTGGTCAACTCTATTAACGTTAGTATCGTTGCGGGTGTACAGTGCAACCTCTGAATAGAGGGAGACATTGTAAGTGTCCTTTTTCAGAGGTGGCCCTTCAGAGGTGGCCCTTCAGAGGTAAATTTTAACTGAGTGTCCTTTGAGTTTTGATTTGGAGGATCCCTTTTCTGAGGTTTTACTCACACCTCAAAGGGCTGCTAGTAATGTCAACTCCACAGGGTAAACTGAGTGATGTCTATGGACGGAAGAGTCTCCTGTGTCTGGCGTATGTGGTGCCTTCGCTGGGTTACCTCATCCTTACCCTGGCCATCTCCTACCGGTCCCTCCCTCTCTTCCTGCTCTCTAAGATTCCCACCGGTAGGCAGCACTCATGGTTTGGTCTTCTCTGTGAAAAGTGTAGTGTGGCGTACTCAGGCAATCTGTAAATGTTTACTCTCAGTAACATATATTATACTGCTCTGCAACGGCGTATTTCACGTAGTGAAAGGTGCAGTGTAACTAAAACCTTTCCTAAATTCTTTGCAAATATCTTGGTTTCAGTATGCCGCACATGACAGCTGGCTGGTTTCGCGATACTTTTCGTAGCTTACACATGTGACTCAAAGTTTTTTGTCACTTTTAACTTTTCATAAATGCTTATCCTATCTTCCTCCCCAGGCATTCTAAAGCACGGTCTCTCTCTAGGCAAGGCCTACCTGACCGATATAACGGAGGCCAGTGAGCGTCAGGGAGTCATGGGGCTCTTCAATGCATGCAGCAGTCTTGGGTTCATCTTTGGTCCTCTCATCAGCGGGTATCTCGCAGATCTCGACGAATCGCTCCAGCTCGCCATGCTCTGTGGAACTCTTACCTTCTCCCTCAACATCTTTTTCATCCTACTCCTAGTAAAACCACTCCCGCCGTCGGTGCTGACAAAAAAATCCGACGCCGACACAAATGTCCTCAAAGAGATGCTGACTCTGAAACATTTTCTATCATCGGTCAATATTTTCAGTGGCGTTCACTGGTGGAGGATGGCAGATTTGATAGTTCTGCGGTTCGTGAATACGTTCTCCGTCATAATGTTTCGCAGTAATCTGACCATCTTTCTTCAGGAGAGCTTTGCCGTTGATTACAAAACCCTGGGGAAAATCATGTCGTTTAATGGGATAACGGGCACGGTTGCTGCCGCCACTTGCGGGTACGTTTCTCGTCTCTACAGGGACCCTGGGAAACAGACAAATCATTTTCTCGTTCTTCTCGCCCTCTCGTTGCTGGGGGCAACCTGTGCCCCCAATCTCCCCTTCCTCGTACTGATGATTGTTCCGCTCTCCTTTGCGACGGCTAACCTCCGAATCTGCTCTCTCAACATGTTCCTCTCTCGGGTGTCCGAAGATGAAAAGGGAGAAGTCATCGGTCTCGGTTACTCCATAAACTCCGTTTCCAGGATGCTGAGTCCGAGTTTTGTGGGTGTGGCCCAGGAGTGGAGTCCACAGTTGGCGGGCTACTTTAGCTCCGCCCTCGCCTGCTCTGCCGCTGTTACCATGGCTACATGCTCTCTCAAATCAAAGTCCATTTCATCAAGTAATAGGTTAGGGAGACCTGATAGTTCAAGTTTGAATGATAATAAAATTATGTAGGTGTCAATTCTTTACCTTTAACTACAGTGTGTTAGTGCGCATGCGCAAGTAATTACTCTAATTGATGCCCACTTTGGAGCCAGAGGCGCGAATTGTGGCTAGCCAGCTAAGCTTTTCACCTTAGAGAAACAGCCCGTTGTGTGAGCTGAACATGTCAGGTGGAGAAGACTTCTACGTCCGGTACTACGTTGGGCACAAGGGAAAGTTCGGACACGAGTTTCTAGAGTTCGAATTCCGTCCTGACGGTACGTGATCCCTTGCCGAGGTGGCACGAATAGGTGTAGCTATTATATGTCATTCGTTTTTTCTGTTCCGTCCAGGAAAGTTGAGATACGCCAACAACTCGAACTACAAGAATGACACCATGATCAGGAAGGAGGTAATGAAACGTGTGTGGAAACAAGTGCCTATGCATGCACACCGCAGTGGGGGTGCAAACCAAGAGTCATAGGGTTGAGCATCTGATCACAGCAATGGACTTCAGTTTACTGTTCGGTAGTGTAAAAGCTTACTTGTGTCTGTTTGACTATTAGGTGACGGTGAACGCTGTAGTAATGGATGAACTACGGAGGGTCATTGAGAGCTCAGACGTAAGTCTGCCAACTGATCCATCATCTATTTCCACTCTCACTCTATACAGATCATGAACGAGGATGACAAACTGTGGCCGGTCCCTGACAGAATAGGCCGACAAGTATGTATGTACAAGAAGCCGCCCACTGTGTTTGAAAGGCTTGATCTTGTATTAGTTTTACATGAGGCACACTAGGCTGCATTATGCATCATAATAATAAAAGCTTTGAGAAACACAAAATGTACGCTCCACTGCTACAGTCATACTTAGAGCCTTCACTATAATTATATTCAACAGGATTTTAAACCCTTTCTCTTCTCAGGAGCTGGAGATTGTGATAGGAGATGCTCACATTTCATTCACGACCACCAAGATTGGCAGTCTTCTGGACTGCAAGAACTCCAAGTACGAAACAGTAACGTCATTGTCTTTGCAACATACATTACACTCTCTCTCTCTTTCGCCAACTGTATAGGGACGAGGAGGGTCTGAGAGTATTCTACTACCTTGTACAGGACCTCAAGTGTCTGGTGTTTAGTCTCATCGGACTCCACTTCAAGATCAAGCCTATCTAAACCCTATTCGCTACTTTTTAGTCTTATCATTATGGCGCACGTGTAGATATTTATGTATTACGTATTTGCGCATGCGCGTAAGCGTTGTGGCGTGTATTATGTGACGTAACTGTCTGTCGTCAACTAAAATCGAACGGTTGTCTTGTGTCCGCTTTGTCTGGTTCTTTCTGCTTTGCCGTACTCTGCCGAGCAGCGATGGATACTCTCTTTGGGAACAGGAAGATATCGATGAAGGCTCTGTCTGACTTCTCTAACTTGTGAGTTAGTCGTCCGATAATGATGGGAACACCTTTAGTTTAGGTCGCGGGAGCCTAGTATGTTGCTAATAGCTTCCTCATTAGTGCTACATTGCTCAGATAACTGCGGCAATGCCTACGCGAAACCTTTACCTTTGTATAGGTTTGTTTTCCTCATCGTAGTTGTCCATTAGTAGTATTAGCTACCCACGAAGCTGTATATAATACACCGCCTGCTAATGATACTGCCCATACATAGCTAGCTTTTGCCTGACCACGTGAGACAATGATAGCGCCAATATTGAGTAACAGTTTCATGTGTCAATGAAGGAACAAAGGGACGAAACAGCATCTGAAGAATGTGTACACGTCTCTGGGGCTGACGATGCTGTCAGCAGCAGCCGGGGCCCTGGGCTTCTTCCTGCTTCAGCTACAGGTACACCTGTCATCTGTGGTACTGTTGTAACGCTATCTGTATCGGTGTATTGACTGTACATTGTACAGTGTGTTATGGTAGGAGTGAGGGGTACAAGGTGGCAGAGCCCTATCTAATTAAAGGGGTGTGTCACGGTGAGTGAGTGTGCGTGAATTCGGTAATATGACCAGTGTTCTTGCTGGCAGATGTTAAACCGTTTTCAGTCCTTATTATTGTGTGTACATACATACATTCTGGTAGGCTGGACTGTTTTGTGTAGGTATATACCATGCCATTCATTCTAGGCACAGAGTCCTCGGGTTAGTATGGCACCATCAAGACTGTTCAATTAGGGGTGGGGTGTATTATACTTCTAAATTTAGAAGGGAATGATGCAATGAATTTTGCAGGTGATGAATGATGTAATGGCCATGACTTTCCAGTGTATAATATAGAGCAATGAGAAACGTGCTTGGTGATGTGTATTATCTTATGTGGCCTGATCTGATTGGTCCAAATACAGTGTACAGTATGATGTAATGACACACTATTGCTCTCCCTTCACACAACACGCACACACACACACACACAGGTTTCACTGCTGGCAGTCCTGGGGTCCATTGGTCTCCTATTTGCCATCATGTTCACTCCACACACTCCCGAGAATGTTACCAAGAGACTCGGTATTGTCCACATCTGCATTTACATACAACTAGACTACGTTATCACTTCTCACGTATTGCTATTGCTGTGTAATGAATAAACTTTCAATGACCACTCTACCACTGTATTTCATGTACAACCTTCCCCCTCCCCCCCCTCCTCCCTCCCTCGTGGTATCTCTAGGTTTCCTCTGTGCCTTTGGTGCATGCACTGGTGTTAGTCTGGGACCACTTCTTGGTGCAGTTGCTGACATCCAGCCAAGGTCTGCATTGGTTAATTCATTATGTTCCTTTTGTGACATTCAGAACTGCATGTGCATGAGTAGCTACTACTATCACAGTTGATGGTTTGACTGGGCTAAGGGACTCTGCCCTGGCAAGTAAAGAGTTGCTCCATAGCCTTTTGTGAATTGTCTGCTTACTACAAGCATGTCTACTGTTTTTTTCCTGTTGTGCTTTCAGAATACATGTAGATGAAACTGTCCCATACTATACCTATTTGAACATTCGATTGCAGGTCTATGTGTTGTCTCTCTCTTATCTCTCTCTCCACACACCTCTCTATGTACCCAGTATATCCCTTTTTTCCTCTTTTCTTCTTCTCTTCCAAACAGCATTCTTGTCGTGTGCCATATTTGGTAGCCTCAGTCTGCGCTCTGTAGCCGAGAGGAGAAGGCTTCTATGACTGTTCTTGGGACCTGGTATGCCAGCAGCTATTGCATACTCATCACTCACCACCAGAGAGCATGGCGATAAGGTTTTCGGTTGTTCCTACTAAATGCTCAGACCATGCTGAGATTTGCCAGACACACCAGACAGTCACAGATAGGTACCAACACTTCTTCCGTTTGCCTATGTGGCTACATCTACTGGGCTTCCTGGGGTGTCCCTCAACTAATTCGGCAGTTAGGCTTTCTCCCAAACTCTTGGAGCCACACTATGTCATGTGACTATAGCGAGTGAACAACCGTCGATCACGTTACCACAGTTACTGGTAATGCATCAATTTTCACGTGCGTATGACTGTATTGTACAAGTGGGAGAAGCTTCAACTAGTTACAAAAAGGATGTCTTTTTTTCCTCTAACCTCTCTGGCAGGTTTTTGCCACCAACTTCTTGTTTTATGACTATCTGCATGTAGAGTAGGGTTCTTATGATCCTATCTTTGGACTCAACAGGTTGGTGGATGATGCGTCTTCAATATTCTTCCGGTCGATCCTTACCATGTCATCCAGGTAAAGTATAGTTTCCTCTTCATTGCGGTCTCGTCTCGGTGCATGTTTTACTCAGTTGTACGTGCGCATGGACTTTACACATGTTGAAACCATCAGGCCGAGAACACACAGAACGTAGTGGACGAGAACACATCCTTTTCACTACATGTAGTAAGGTCACCACTACCCACTTCATTTGTCCCCTATACCAGTCCCTACACAGTAATCCCAGTGCCTCACCACGCAGTACGCACAGAGTTCACACTGCAAAGCATTTTGAGTTGGCTCTTCTCTCCCCGGTTTATAGGCTTATCCTTCTATTGCCCCCGGGTGTATCTACAATCCATTATTCCACCCTGAGCCACTAGAATAACCATAATACATTATACCGTGTTTCAGCAGGGTAAATTCAACACGGTCGCTTATGACGAACAACTTGCAACCCACCTTTCAAAAACACTTCTGTGTGAAATCCCCTACTGGCCTAATAGCCTTTCTCTATACAGCGCAAACTGATGCTGTGACAACAATAGATCCCCTATGCATGACAATTACATTGTACACTCCATTTTTCAGGATTTTTTAGCGGGAGGAGCACCTGTTTTAATATGTGGCTTTCTTATTGTACTTTAGTTGACTTTGCTCCACCTTCTTCCACAAGCTGTAGTGCTCCGGTCGGTTACTCTGTTCTGTGGGTCGCTTCTCTTTGACACCACACTGTTGGGACGCGATCAACACAACGGAGACGACGACTACGTCAGTCACTCTCTCGACCCACTTCTGAATTCCTCAACATTTCCGTCGTCCATGTTCGTATCCTGGCCTCCAAGGTTTGCTTACTCTTGTTGAGACATGGAAGGCGAGAGAAGGAGTTGAACGAAGAGGGAGGGAGGGTGTGTTGTGATAGAGGAGGGAGGGGAGGAGGGGAAAGGAAAAGAAAGAGTTTACTGAGGGCTGATAATTTGTGTATTCCACACTGAGTCTTTTACTCCCAGGAATGAATCAAGTAAAAATTGAAACTTACAGTAACTGACATATTTGTTGAGTTTAAATGGTCACTACATCCATTCTACTTTACTTGATGGGGTCCACTTCTTTGCCTTCCTCCCCCACCCTGTCTTCCCTCCCTCTCCCTCTCTCGTTCATCTCTCCAGGGAAGAAGAGGAAGAACCACTACAATTTATACTGTTCTCTGGGTGATAGAGGACTTAACTGAGCTGTTTTGGTTCGAATCAAAAACACTCACACACAAGAAATTGCCCTTCAATTGTATCAGGCACCATTTTTGTGATAATTTTGATGCTAATAAAGATCTGTCAAGTGCCAGCCGTGGTGCATGCAGTTGAATCGGAGGGGCGTCAAAACGGAGGTGTGTTGTGCTCTTAAAAAGTTCATTGTACTAATGTAAAATGACTGCCTAAAATAATGGTGGTTGCGTATACATCAAGCTAGAGTCCTTAGAGATTGCACTAGAGGGCGATATCAAAATTCATGCACATACAGT